TATAGTGATCTAGATCGAAATAAATGATGTCATAAGATAGATATTTTTCATCTGAACAACTTTTTCAAAGACATCAAACCTTTATTGCTTAATGTTAAGGAGAAAGAGCTGATCTATATAAAAAATATAGTGATCTAGATCAAAACGATCTAGATCAAAAGATAGATCTTATTCGCCTAAACAACTTTTCCGAAGACACCACTGTGGCTATAAGGTTAGAAGATAATTTCATCCGATAAGATGCGTCTACCAAAAGATAGAATTGATCTAGATCTAAATTTAGTAATTGAGGTCTGTTCTGTTCTGAAGGTATCAAAAGATATCTGAAGATTTTGTTTTAATAGCGTGTTTTCTAAAAAAAATATAGCTGATTAAGATCAAATTGTAGTGATCTAGATCAAAACATATGACGCCAAAAAATAGATCGCATTCACCTGAACAACTTTGCCGAAGAGACCAAGCCTTTATGGCTTGAAATTTAGTAGTTATGAGGGTTTATCCGATTAGATGCTTCTACCAAAAGATATAACTGATCTAGGTCAAAATTTAGCAATTAAGGTTAGTTCTAAAGGTATCAAATTATAGCTCTTATCTAGAGAGGGTCTAGTATATCTATCTGAACAACTTTATTTAAGATATTGTTTTAATAGCGTGCTTCCTCAAAATATACAACTGATATAGATCAAACTGAAGCGATCTAGATCAAAACGAATCATGTCAAAAGATAGATCTTATCAACTTTTCTCCGAAGACACAAAACATCTGTTTAGGAGTTATGATGTTTTGTCCGATAAGTTGCTTCTACCAAAATATATAGCTGATCTAGATCAAAATGTAGGAATAAAAGTCAGTTTAAAAGGTATCAAAAGATATCTCTTATCTATATGAACACCTTGTTAGAGATTTTGTTTCAATAGCTCGCTTCCTCAAAATATATAGCTGATCTAGATCACATTATAGTGATCTAGTTCAAAATAAATGACGTCAAAAGATAGATCTTATTCACCTGAACAACCTTTCCGAAGACACCAAACCTCGCTGGCCTTAAGTTAAGGAGATAAAGCTGATCTATATCAAAGTATAGATTAGATCAAAACTAATCATGCGTGATCTAGATCAAAACGAATCAGATAGATCTTATTCATCTACACAAATTTTCCGAAGATACCAAACCAAACCTATAAGTTTCGGAGCTATGATGTTTTTGTCCGATAAGATGCTTCTACCACCATATATAACTGATCTAGATCAAAATTTAGTAGACAAGATCAGTTCTAAAGGTATCAAACGATAGCTCTTATCTATCTGAAAAAAAATGTTTTAGATTCTGTTTTAATTACGTGCTTCGTCAAAAGATACATCTAATCTAGATCAAATTAAAGTGATCTAGATCGAAACGAATGATGTCAAAAGATAGATCTTTTTCATCTGAACAACTTTTCCGAAGACACCAAACCTCTATGGTTTGAAATTTAGTAGGTATGTGGTTTTGTCCGATAAGATGCTTCTACCAAAAGATAGAATCGATCTAGATCAAAATTTAGTAATTAAGATCAGTTCTAAAGGTATCAAGAGATAGCTCTTATCTGTCTGGAAAACTTTGTTAAAGATTTTTTTTAATATCGTACTAGAAGATACAGCTAATCTAGAACAAACTACAGTGATCTAGATCTAAACGAATGATTTTTAAAAGATAGATCTTATTCACCTGATCAACTTTTCCGAAGACATAAAACCTCGATGGCTTGAAGTTATGGAAATAGAGCTGATCTATATCAAAATGTAGCGATCTAGATCGAAAAGAATGATGTCAATAGACAGATCTTATTCACCTGCACAACTTTTCCAAAGACGCCAATCCTCGATGGCTTGAAATTCAGTATTTATGAGGTTTTGTCCGATAAGATGCTTATACCAAAAGATATAACTGATCTAGATGAAAATGTTGTAATCAAGATCAGTTATAGATGGTATCAAATTATAGCTCTGATCTATCTGAAAACATTTCAAGCTGAACATTGCATTAGGTCCTAAGTAACATTGACAGATTCTCTTCGTCTTGCTTGATTTGTTGAAGATGTTGTTTGAATAGCTTGCTTCCTTAAAAGATACAGCTGATCTAGATCTTCATCTGAACAACTTTTCCGAAGACACCAAAAATCTGGTTTAAAGTGTAGTAGTTATGTGGTTTTGCCCGATATGATGCTTCCACCAAAAAATAGAACTGATCTAGATGAAAGTTTAGTAATTTAGGTCAGTTCTATAGGTACCAAACGATAGCTCTTATCTATCTGAGCATCTTTGTTTAAGATTTTATTGTAATAGCGAGCTTCCTTAAAATATACAGCTGATCTAGATCGAATTATAGTGATCTAGATCGGAAAAAAAATCGTCAAAAGATAGATCTTATTCATTTGTTCAAGTTTTCCGACGACACCCAACTAATATGGTTTGAAATTTAGTAGGTATGAGATTTTGTCCCATAAGATGCTCCTACCCAAAGATAGAACTAATCTAGATGAAAATTTAGTCATCAAGATCAGTTATAATGATGTCAAAAGATAGCTTTTGTCTATCTGAAAACTTTTGTCGAAGATGTTGTTTGAATAGTGTGCTTCCTTAAAAGATACAGCTAATCTAGATCAAACTATAGTGAGCTAGATTGAAAAAAAAATCATGTCAAAATATAGATCTTATTCATTTGTTCAACTTTTCCCAAGACACCAAACCAATATGGTTTGAAATTCAGTAGGTATGTGGTTTTGTCCGATAAGATGCTTCCATTAAAAGATAGAACTGATCTAGATGAAAATTTAGTCATCAAGATCAGTTATAATGGTATCAAAAGATAGCTCTTATCTATCTGAAAACTTTTGAACGAAGATGTTGTTTGAATAGTGTGCTTCCTTAAAAGATACAGCTAATCTAGATCAAATTATAGTGATCTAGATCGAAAAAAATTATGTCAACAAATAGATCTTATCCATTTGTACAAATTTTCCGAGACACCCAACCAATATGGTTTGAAGTTTAGTAGGTATGAGGTATTGTCCGATGAGATGCTTCCACCCCAAGATAGAACTGATCTAGATAAAAATTTAGTCATCAAGATCAGTTATAATGGTATCAAAAGATAGCTCTGATCTATCTGAAAACTTTTGTTTATGATGTTGTTTGAATAGCGTACTTCCTTAAAAGATACAGCTGATCTAGATCAAATTATAGTGATCTAGATCGAAACAAATGATGTCAAAAGATAGATCTTATTAATCTGAACAGCTTTTCCGTAGACATCAAACCTCGATGGCTTGAAGCTACGGAGATAGAGCTGATCTATTTAAAAATACAGCGATCTAGATCAATATGAAGAATGTTAAAAGATAGATCTTATTCACCTGCACAACTTTTCCGAAGACGCCAAACCTCTATAATATGAAGTTTAGAAGTTATGTGGTTTTGTACGATAAGATGCTTCTACCAAAATATATAACTGATCTAGATCAACATTTTGTAAACAAGATCAGAATATAGCTCTTATCTATATGCACACATTGCTAGGGATTGTGTTTTAATAAGGGGATCCAAGAGACGTTTCTCAGTGGAACTGACAGCTAGAAATCAAGAGTGTGTGAGTGATCTGGTGTTAATGGTGCTGAATTTAAACATAAACAAAGCAGAAATTCATATGAGAGTGAACTGTCAGTTCTACTGTGATCTGTCAAAATTTCTTGGTAAACAAAAAAGTCAGCTGATCGCAACTGTCTCGTGGACAGTCTTATAGCGTGCTTCGTCAAAAGATACAGCTGATCTAGATCAAATTTTAGTGATCTCGATCGAAACAAATGACGTTAAAAGATAGATCGTATTCACCTGACCAACTATCACCTAACCTCTATGGCTTGAATTTTAGGAGTTGAGAGGTTTTGTCGGTCAATACGATCTACCCCACTGCGCAACGTCAACGAAAAAAGAGACTGTGCTGCATAAAATGAACAAAGCGTATCGAAGCAATAGCTTCCGAGACACGGAACAGCGCTGTATAGATGTTACAGAGAAGCTTCCAAAACTTGTCCCAACAAATTTCCAGAAATATTTCCATGAGGTTCTTCCGTGAAGATCTCAGAACTTCGCGGAAGGTTTTCTCAGTCCTTACTTCAGTGCATACCTAGCACTTTCACCTGAAAATTGTGATTTTCAAAATGTCTTTCAAGTAAAGTCCACATCCGCCCTCTAAAATTTATATTAAAACAAAACATCCACTACGACGCAAAATTTTGTTGGGAATTGACCGGAGAAATTTTCGCAGGAAGTCTGAAATATCTAATGAAGGAAATCGGAAGAAGCTTTCAGCAAAAGCTGGAAAAAATTGTCCTGGGTTAGTCAGAGGAAGCTTCCCCTATGTCGCAAAAAAAATGCCGCGGAATCGGAAGACCCCATTTCAGTTTGGGTCTTACTAGTCCCATTGAGAATCAGGTTGCTCGGGATTATCTGAATATTTTCTCTCGGCACCACCCACCGGCGTTATCCGTTGTATTCCTGTACTTACTAATCTGATAACCGCATTGAACAATTTCCCATAGTAGGGTTGAAGGTTCTGGATTTCCACTTCTCACTCTCAGCTGATGAGCTCGAGAACACGATTTAAACGAGTTTGTTCTAGCCATTGTGGTAACTCAGGCAGCTCAGCTGATTATGTCGCGCTCAACTAAAAAGAGTCAACGTACTCGGACGAGCCGTCATTCGTTACTTGATACGGTGAACTGTGTCCCAACTGCGGAGGCTTAGTCGAACGAGTTAGTCTTGCCTCCACAGTTAACTGTCAAGGAAAAACAATGTAGAGGGGCAGTAATTGGTCCGATTCTTGTCCGAGCCTCACTCATCCCATAACTTCTCACAGTAAAACAGTTCGTTCGTTCATTGATCCTTCCTCACTCGAATTTCACGGGTACAAGCTGTAAGTTGACAACGGTCTAATCTCGATTATTTCTTATCAATTTCAGGAGTATCATCTAAGCAGCAAGTCTAGATTTTAAGCAAAAACGCATATTATTCATTACTCACCACTTCAATCGTAAACAATCATCATCGCAATCCACCATGTCCAAGTGGGGGAAAGGTCACGGATTGATCGTTCCGATCGATTCCCTTATGAAGGAAAAGGAAAACACAAACCGGCCGGCTCCGCTGCGATCTGCCGGTCTGGTCGGCCGCTGGGGCATCACCAGCTTCACCTCGATTCGCAATACTAGCTATGGTAAGTCCAATCTACCAAACCTGAATCAATGCATTAAACCTTTTCTTTCCACCCCGCAGAATTCGAAAGCACCAGCCCGAAGGAATCGGACGACCTCAACTGCTCCTCGAATGTGGCGAGCCTGTCGACGCAGGTCTCCAATCCGGTCAAGCCGAAGAAGTTCTTCAAAAGTCGCAATACGGCTCCACCGTCGTCGATTGGTGCCACCCCGGATCCGCACCGGCAGTCGGATGCCTCCTGCTATGGCAGCCCACAGCAGAAACCCATCCTGCACTTTCAGGCGTCACAGTTGCAGGCCCGGATCGCACAGGATGCCGGTGGAAGTCCAACCTACACTCAGGTCGGGTACTACCAATCCCTTGCCGGGGCGGCTGCGACGGAAGCGAAAGCACCGGCTAAAAAGAAATCCAAGAAGAAGAAACAGAAGCAGACCGAAGCTGCTGTAGCAGTAGCAGCAGCAGCAGCAGCAGCAGCAGTTGCTACTGCTGTTGTTGCTGCTATTCCTGGTGCCGTAGACGAACAGCAGCTGCAGGCTCCAGAGGAGGACAACAAAAAAGAGAAATCCGAAAAGAAGGAGAAGAAACAGAAGAAAACCAAGAAGGAAGTGGAACTGCCGCCGGAGTTGCCCAAGCGGAACTCCTCTCGTATCAGGAACAAAGTGGTTAACTATAACGAAGACGATGACAGTTTCGACATGGTTCCGTACCGTGACGAAGTTTCGCGAACTCCGCCAGTATCCAAGTTGGCCTTGGAACCGGTTGCTGTGCCGGAAGCTCAACCGGAACCGGCGGAAGAGCAAGTAGAAGCAGGACATGATGATGACGAAGAAGAAGAAGAGGAAGATGAGGAAGAACAAGTGGAGAAAGCACCGGAAGAGCCGGTGCCTAGTGAAAGTGTTGTGAAAATTCCAGCAGCGGTGCCGGTGCCAGTGCCATTGCCAATGGCAGCAGGAATGGCCAGCCCAACCAAGTCGGGCAGCGGTAGTGGCACCGAAGATCGTGTTAGAACGAGGGAGCACAAGGAAGTGAAAATGACGGTTCCGATGCCGTTGTCGTCACCGTCGGTGACGGAGCATCCGCCAATTGTGCTGCGGATATCGAAGGTAAGCATTTAGAAGCACATATCATATTTTGGATTGGTTGGAAAAGTAGTTCAACGCCTAGCATACCTCAAGGCGCAAGTGCTAGATAGCATGAAACCGCTTTCTCAAATATTGATGGACCCAAAGATAGACGAGCTGAAGAGCGTAATTCAATTGCTGAAAGACATCAACATGTACATCTGAACTAAAGAGCCTGAATTTATAAAGGGACGACATGTCAAAATGGGAACAATCGATTGTCTGTCAAAGTCATAGGAAAAGTCATTCCAAACGAGCAGAAGACCTGTCAAATGGATAAGATGTCGCCTTTTTATAAATTCAGGCTCTTTAATCTGAACCAAACGCATCGATCACCGAGGCAACCTACAATCAATCCGCTAACGAAGTCCGTATCCGGCTCCTGAATCCAATCGCCCTTTCAGCGGGCAGGACTCTTCAGGTTTGTCCAAGAAACCCACAGCCAAACCGGCTGGCTTCACCAGTGCGGACAATTAACAGCCACCACTTCAACCCAAACGGTTTTGATCAGTTGACACATACGGCAAATACTTTTTGATGAAATAGAAATGAGGTAGCGGGCCTTAATTTTGCCTTTAGGAAGAGTAAGCAGTTTACATTTATTACATACGCCCTATTCACAAAATGCACTCCAGAAATAACAGTAGATTGACAGCTCTCTCGCGAATGCACTTACCCGTAGACACTCTCTACAATACGAGAGATAATGGATGCGTGCTTTCTTTGTTTAATCATCTCTTGGTGCTTACCGAATCGAGGATAAGGATTTAATACAGATCTCCCGAACTCCGGATTAAATCGCGTATTATGCTCGACGGAGCTTACCACTATTAGTGTCTAAATCTAGATTCTGTGGGTCATGGAACAGGTTCGATTGGCATAGCGAATCATCCATCTCTACCTCTGTATTTTCCAACCTTTTAACTGCTATCACTGTTACCTTGACTATCCCCTATATTCAACAACTTTCCTTACTATCGTCATTTTAAAGCAGGATTCATTTGACCCCTGTGGTTATTATTCTGTGATGTCAAATCTATATCTCTGAACAGTGATTTTTCACTAGTGTTCCAACGTCGAAGTAGGTACAATGAGTCACGATTCTTTAAGCGTTGAACCGATAATGGTCTCAGAGGTGCTACCTTCGTCTTCGACGCTACCAGTGCGCAACGTAGTTGTCCGTGATCGCTTATGCGAAAGTAAGCTACGCAAGCCAAAGCGGACAGGCTCGCGTCTACAAATGTATGGAGCTCCAATGTTTGGTAGCACTGCTTATCATAGCCAGGGAAGTAGCAACGGGGAATTCGTGCTAGATCCAGTTCGTTGAAACTTCTCCAGCTTTCGTCGACGCTCTCCGGAATTACGTCGTCCCATCCGACTCCACATCTTCAAAGATCCTGGATCACTATTGTTTCCATGGATGAGAACGTGAGATATTAGGCCGAGCGGATCGTATAAGCTCATGATGAATCGCAAAATCTTCCTCTTCGTTGGCACTGAATCTCCCGACACTAGACACTAGACAGGCTGAAGATAAATTCGTCCTCATCAGGAAGCCACGCCATTCCCAGCACACGTTACACCTTGTCGTTGCTGAATTCCTTACGATGAACATTATTTTGCTCCCCGATACCTTGCAGCACCTTCGCTGAGTTTGACGCCCAGTTCCTGATTTCAAATCCGGCCTTGTCGTGTACCAAACGAACATCTACAGCTAGCTTCGCCATCTCTTCTTCGGTGTCCCGGCTATCCAAGTAATCATCCATATAATGATTTTCTACTATAGCCACTGCTGCCTCCGGATACTCAAGCTCGAAGTTCTTTGCATTCAGGTTCTTTATATATTGAGCCTGACAAGGTGATCATGTCGACCCAAAATAACGAATATCTCCGGAACTGTTGATGGATCAGAACTCCATAAAAAGCACTGAGCCAAGCGGTCCGCTAACCGAATGAAGAACTGATGATACATCTCACGCGCGTCTCCAACGGCCGCTACTTGCCGTTGTCGAAATCGAGACAGCACTTTCGGAAGTGGAGTTAGCAGATTCTGGCCGTTGAAGGATACCCCGTTTACCTTGACAGCTGCGTCCCAAATCAATCGAACTTTTCCGGGTTTTCGAGGATTGATTACGGCAGGAACCACATTCGCTTAGAGTTGGCGTCTTCGATCTCCTGCTGTGACGCCTTGTGAGCGTAGCCTTTCTTCGATTTGCCCCTTCAAATTCGCTTGTAACTCCGGGTTCGGTTTTAAAGGTTTTAAACGACGATGAACACAAGCTAATCTCCTTTCCGCCATAGCGTAGCTAGGAGGAAACTGCACCTTGTCACTGCGCCATTGTAATCCCGTTTCATAGCGACCGTCCTCCCGTCGTTGTTCTCTCCAGGATCTCTCTTGCTCGACGGTCTTATTTTCCCTCAACAACAAAGAAATGTTCTATCAATTCGTGTCATTGATTTTAGCAGAATCACCGATGCTAATACCAAAATGTGGTAGTCCTGCCCGTTTGCTGCAGTCGATGCTGAACAAGGTACGCTCTGTACCAACACCTAAAGCAGAACGTTTGGAAACTCTGATCAACTTCGGCATCATTGTACAGAATCTGGTTGGACACCTGAAGCAGCGAACCAAGCATTATTTAATAATGTTTCCAGCGTTGCCATTACTTGAGGAACTGAGTTAGGAAGAAGAAGATTACTTCTGACAGCTTCCAGTGCGCATCCCTTCAGGCATCTTTGTAACCTCATCAGGTTTTCAGCATCCGAATAACCACACATTGTTGTTGAGTTCCGGTAGCTACTTACAAATAGCGGCCACTCCTCTGGGTTTCCAGTGAAAATCGGAAGATCCTTGGGCACTACCTGCATAGCTGCTAATTGCTGCTGAAAATGTCCCCAAGCAGCTTGATACTGGATAGGCTGCGTCTCTGGCATCAGTGTCGGATAGACGAATGATGGTATTGGATTCGGCTGTGGGTTTGGGGGTGCTGGCATTGGTTCTGGATTCGGTGGCCACGGCATCGGCTGTAGTATTGGTTGTGGGATCGGCTGTGGGACAAGCTGTGGAATCAGCCGAGGACCTGGTTGCAGGTTTGGCTATCGGTCTTAGGCCAGGTTGTGGCACCGGCTGCGTAACTGGCTAAGGAATTGGTGTCGGGATTGGATTTGGCAACGGCTTTGGGCCTGCTTGCCACACCGGTTGTGGCACTGGCTGAGGAATCGGCTGCGGAACCGGCTGAGGAAACGTTTGTGGGTACAGCGGTACACGTAAAGGATTCGGTATTTGCTGCAACTGTTGCTAAATGGGTGTTGATGTGTATGCACTTTCTTTGTTTGGCTCCGTCCACTGTATTTCCTCCCAAAGCTGTAAGAGGAGTCTCTTGGCTCACTTCTTCCGTGATCACTTCGGTCAGAATCGCTGGTTGCCATGCTTGACTTGATTCACCCGCATTGGATCCATTACCGTCATCTGACAACTGGTTGGCATGTTCCAACAACCACTGGCTGACTCTATTCTTGCTACTTACTCGACCACGATGGCTTCCGATACTATTTTCGTTGTCATCAGCTTCCGCCATCAGTATCGCGTACTTTTGCATCAAAGCTTTCTCCTAAGCTTTCCGGTCTTCTTCAATCTACATTAGCTGGAGTTGGATCCGCATTGATCGACAGCTCCTATTTGATCTGCCAGACTTGAAGACATCGACTTCGTTTACGCCAGAGGCACATTTGCTGCACGACCAACTATTATCACGGATGCTGTCGTCCACCGTCGCACAAGAAAAATGGTACCGATCCTTACAGGCATCACAGGCTACCATGTTCTCCGATCGATCTGGTTTGTTGCAGGCTATGCAATTGTACAGTCCATCCTGATTAGATGTCATCGTCACACTGAACCTCTGGTAGTCCGACCCAACATTATGCAGTACCTTCCAACGGCTTGTCGGAATTTTTTAAAGAATGTTCCAACCACAGACAAACAGACATAACACTCACAAGTTGTTCATCGACCAAGCATTTAACGGTCAATTTAAAAGTATCTCAGTTGGTAGTACTGCCACCTGTGGTGCGCATAGTCAATTCCCTTGCGTTTGACGTTTACACACTACCGCCATCTGTTCAGGGTACTACCCATCACAGTGTACTCAACAGATGGCGGTAATGTTTTATCGACGATGTTTTACAATCAGAAATATTCAATGTGTTATGTCTGTTTGTCTGTGTTCCAACGTCGCAGTTGGTACAATGAGTCACGGTTCTTTTAGCAGTTCGTGATCTTTTATTGAACAATGCTTTAAAACAAGAAAAACAATAATAATTAGCAAACATATTGTAGAGAGTTAAGAATAATTTCCTTACAATTCCGGTGACCTTTCTAACTCAACTCTACTTCTAGTCCAATACGTTCGATTCACTTGGTTTAACCAACAATCAATACGAAACTAACGATTTTAAATTGGCTCACTACTTGACTAGCCTATTGGTCCCAAGCAAACGATTAACGTACCCCATTCTAGTCGAAATTCTAGTACTACGCAATGTTTGTTTTGATTCGCTATGAAAGATTGACAGATAAAATGAGGGGTTATTGGTTTTTCCTCTGTTTCGAGGGGTGAATCGATTAGCTTGGGACCGAAGATAGTACCAGAGCTGAGCCAAAAAGTTGAGCACGTTATTTCGGGACCTTCTAGTCTTAGAGTTACCTCTATGGTTTAACTGCTATAGCTTTGATGGGTGACATCGCATTAGGATTACGATAGTTTATAATTTATTTAGAATAGGTTTACTTACTATTTTAGCTAGTTTAAGCGAGTATGATTTAGCAAATATAATAGATATAATATGTGCAGTAGATCATAACCTATAAGTTTCATCATAAATTTTAGCTTAGGAATTCATAATAGATTAAGTATCAAGGCAACTTACTCCAACTGCATCATCACTACTATTATTTTTTTTATACTGTTTGCTATAATTAT